GGAGGGCGCGCGGAGGAGGTGCTGCAGGGGCGGGGCTCCGCCGGGGAATTAGGAATCCCGGCCCCAGCTGCCCACGGGGGAATTAGGAATCCCGGCCCCAGCTGCCCACGGGGGAATTAGGAATCCCGGCCCAGCTGCCCACGAGGGGAATTAGGAATCCCGGTCCAGCTGCCCACGAGCCGGGGCTTGGCGACAGCGATAAGAGCGGTGAAGCCGCGGGTGCCCCACAGCAGGCGAGGTCCCTGACACTGCCGCTCCAGAGTCAACGGGGATGGGAGGGGCCTGACACCCCCAATTCTCTATACTTCTGTTATATGACTTTTACAATTTAAAAGTCAATGTTAAATATAAGTATCTATGCGTAGAAAGAAAAGTCTGGAAAGATGTGGACAGGAAGTCACCAGTGGCAGCCCAGCCATGTGCTGGGGGCACTTAGCTGCCAGGGCCTGTACCTTGTTCCTGGTTCAAATATCTATAATTTATAATAAAAATGTCATACAATTGGAATTGAAATCCACTTCCTAAGATATTGTGGGGGTGGCCCAGTCCCAGCGTGCCAGTGGGCACCTCTCCGCCTTCCCCCTTTCCTCCACATCCTGCAGGCGCAGGGACTTTTTGTCAGGGCCAGCAGAACACCGGGGCACCCCACAGGGATGCCCAGCAAGTGGCAGAACGGAGACCCCAAGCCAGGTGTTTGGACTCCAGGACACACAGGTTGCCAGAAGTGTTGCAGGGTTTGGGGCACCTTTTAAGGCCCTCCGTGTCCAGAGGGAGGCCCTCCTGACTCAGAGGAGTAAGGCATTTGTGTGTCTGCAGGGGGAGAGTGCCTGCATTGGGCTGCTGTGCCCTCCCTCTGCCTCTCTCACTGGCTCCAGCCAGGCTGCTGGACCAGGCAGGGGTTTCCTCCCAAGCTGAGGAGGACGCTGGGGTGGAATAATCCAACCCCAGAGGCCAACGTGGCTCTCCTCACAGCTCCTGGTCTCAGACTGAGGGGCACGGACCCACAGCCATGCCTGGGCTCTGTGGCACCCTTCCCCCCAGTCTGCCTAAGCGCCTCCCCTTGTCCTGGGAGGTGCAAGCAGGCAGCTGAGGCCAAGGCGGCCTTGCAGAGCAGCCTGACTCACCCACGAAAGCCCACCTTGAATCACCTCAAGTCCAGTGCTCAGCTACCACCAAGACAGTTGCCCCCACAATCTGCCCCAAAACATGATGTGCAGGGATGCTGGGCCCTGCGCCGGCCCCGAGCCAGCCACCCTCGTGCACTCTCACACACTCATGCGTTTGCCTCGTCCAGTCATTCATTCCTCCACAGCCAGAGCAAGGCGGCAGCATTCCTACGTGGAGGAGACGCACGGGGACATTCAGGGGTCAAGTTTCCCCCAACCCAGAGTAACCCGGAAGGAGGGTGCTGCCTGGGGCTGAGCAGGGCACTCATGTCCCCAACTGGCTTAGGCACCAGGTAAGCTCCCCAGCCCTGGACTTGCCCTCAGGTCGGACTGGCTTTCTAAAAGTTCTCTGGGCCAGCAGGCCTGCCCTCAGCTCTTGTCCTCCCCTGAGTCTGGGGAGGTCCATGACCCTCCTGGGCTCTTGCCAGCCTCTCCATTCACTCCCTGGCCTCCATGTGGTCTCAGTGTCGTCTGTTAGTCCCAGCCAGCCTGGGTGGAAAAGACTCAGTGAGCCCCTGTACACAGGCTTCAGAGGGCCTGCCCATCCAGCTGCCCAGTAAGCCCCTGTGGGTAAGCATGATGGGCTCTCCCAGCCTAGGGAAAGTGCCAACCTCGGTCAGAGGGATGGGACTATGAGGGGGCCCTCAGCTGGTCGGGGAGCAGAGGCTGGGAGAGCCCAGGTCCCCCTCCCTGTCTGCCAGGAGTGGCCAGTAGAAGAGCCACAGGAAAAGCAGACAGGTGTGTTGTGTGCCCTGGGCCACAGCGGTGTGCCAGGGCAATGCTGTCCTGTCTGCTCCCTCAACAGTCCGTTCTGCCCTAGAAAAAGCACTTTTTCTTCTGGTCCAGCACCAGCACGCCCTCCAAGGCCTCACACCCATCAGTCAGCAAGCCTAGAACCCACAGAATGCCACAGGGACCAGTCGTGTGGCTAGTAAACATACCCCATGAGTCTTTATTGAGCAGCTACTATGTGCCAGTCTGCCTGCCCCAGGGGCACCTTCCATCAGGGAGGTTGCCCAGGGATCCCTGGTTGAAAACAAGCCCTCAAAGCGTGATGGTGGAATGCATTTCAGGAGGTTCCGGGATCTGTGGCAGACAGTTCATCCTGGGTGCAGGGGATGGCTGGTCTCTGACACCAACAGCTGGGAGAACTTGAAGGCCAGCTGATGGCTGGAGCCATGGGCAGTCTTCAGGTCCATGCCTGGCAGATGATGGCAGCTGTTGGCTGGACCAACTCCGTGCAGTGTCTCCACACCTGGCTCACAAGGGCTGGCTGGGCTTCCTCTCAGCATGGCGACTGGTTTCCTGAGTGAGCAAGTGTCCGAGAGAGCCAGGTGGCATGCCTGGCATTTCTGTGAGTCCTGAGGGGCACTGTTGGCCGAGGTGTGGCAGCGGCCTGTCCAGGTCCCAGGGGAGGGTACAGATGTCACCTCCTATTGTAGTATTTTTTTGAAAACAGTCTTCCAGAGTAGAGGTCAGAGGGCAGAAAGTAACCGTAAATAAGTAAATTATTCAATGTATCAGTTTCCTGTTGCTACATAAGGAATTACCACTGTCTGACCACTTAACAACAGTTATGTCTCAGCTGCTGTGTCAGGAGTCCCAAAGGCTGGTGGGGTCTCTGCTCAGGGGATCAGGGTGCCAGGGTCTCTTCTGGAGCTTCCTCTGGAAGCAGGTCCCAGGTCCCTCTGGCTCTTACTATGAGGGGGCCATACGAGGGCAGGA